GAACACGTGGAGCGGTTTGCGAGGCGCTGGTGGCGCTACCGAATCGAGTCGAGGCTGCTGCGGTGCCTCGCTGACGAGGCGGCGAACACAGGCGACAACCACGACAGCCGCGGTTCCGGCAGTCACGGGGAGGACGCTTTTAGGGAGAATATCTTTTATCTGAAGAAGGGTCTTGCAGAAGCCGACACGAGAACAGCAATGGCGGTGAAGCCGCGCGCCACACTGATCCCCCAGACGCGTCAGTTGGCCGCTCAGTGCATCGCTGCGACAACTGCGCCAAGTGCGGCATCGGGGGAGGCGCGGCATATTCCGGCCGTTTCCATTCCACCAACGCTGCCGCTGGCGGTACGACAACTTGACACGCGCGAGCCGCAGCTGTGCCCTCGCGCCTCCCCCGAGCAACCGCGGGGCGAGGGAGACGAAGGTGGTACAACAACAACAACAACAACAGCAGCAGCAGCAGCAGAGGAGGTGTCGTCACTGATGCCTCCTCTCAACACCATGGCGGGCGTTTCCTTCACCCTGCGTGTGTGCAAGTCGGCGTTTGTGGAGCTGGCCGCAGCGCACCTGTCGTCGTGCCGTGCGGAATTTCGGCTGCCTGTGCGATGCCTGTGGCACCCGTCGGAGCGGCGAGTTGATATCTCCATTGAAAAGCCGCTACCGGGTCATCGCGAGTCGCGGCGCAACATCAACGCGGCGGCGCTCAAGCGTCTGGTGGACGGCGAGCCGCGTCTGCCGTCGAACAGCCGCTGCAGTGTACGGGGCCGGCAGAAGGGCAAGTGCTGCGCGGAAGTCTCGTTCGGCGCCGAGTTTGCCTTTCACCTTCTCTCCAACTGCGTCTTCGACTTGACCCATCAGTGCCCCGTCTTCCGCATGATAAAGATGGAGTACAACTGCAAAGGCTACAGCACCGTCCCTGACGACGAGAAGACGTTTCACTATGAAGGCTTTAGCAAGCGGGAGGTGGTGCGCATGTGGGTACTCCTGCACTGCAACCCCACCGCCGTTCTCTACGTCTACCGCATCAACGCCTACTCCAGTGCGGTGATGGGCATTGAACAGTTTTCCTCCGTGTCCTTCATGAGTCAGGTGATGGGGTCGTGGGCGGGTGACGTGGATGTGCAGCGCAGTTGGGGCTGCCTTTGCGAGGGGCTGCGGAGTACAGTTTCCGCCGTTGTCCGGCGAATGCCGCCCGCGGACGGCGCGAGCGGCGCCACCTTCATTCTTGCCAAGGAAAAGGAGGACGGGAATGTGTCGCTCTGCTCCGTGAAGGCCTGTTATCCGCAGCAGGTGGTCCTTGAGGAGGCTGTGGCGGCCTTTATTGAGCCCAGCAGCCGCACGGTGTGTCGACGCGAATACCTGCCGCCCTGCGTCTGGCCCTTTCCCGACCGCATTCCCTACACCTACGCCCCGGCGCCGAAGTCGTGCTACGTCGTCAACCGGACGACGGAGGCGCGGCACGACTCCGCGTACTACGCCAAGCACGACGTCTGGGAGCACGAGTCACGGTACTACGCGGTGGACGAGCACGGGGCTGTCCGGGAGCTGCAGCCGGCGAGTTCGTAGGCCACTGATAACGAATAACAAGTGCGCATCGAGGGAAGCGCAGGGAAGAGGTCCAACCAACCAGCCAAAGTAACAAAAAACAAAACAAAACGAGGTGGTGAAGAGATGAGCCCCACATGCATAATGACGGCAACGCGTTGGGTTGACGCCCAAAGGAGCGGAGGAATCGGGGCTGCCGTTTAGAGCTGAAGAGTTCGCAGTAAACGGAAGCGAGCGTTTCCCCCAATGGGAAATAAAGAGCGGCACATTGCGTTGAAGCTAGGGCTTGCCCTCCGTGCTCTTGGTAGAAGGTATCTAACTGTTTATTTAGTTGTTTTTGTTTGTTTTTAACTCGCTGTGGTTTTTTTCTCTTTGCTCCATCTCTCTATCTTCCTCTGTGAATCCACAGCCTGCTTTGGCCTGCGGTCGGGGTGGGTGCGCCGCATGCGCTCTGAACGGGGACTGCTCTCCGTTGCGCCCCCGCCTCTGTTTCCGCTTGAGGAGCATCGGCTGTTTCCATGCGACTTGGCAAGCAATGCTCGCGGAGAGGATGCCCATGCTGGGGGATAAGCGCCTGCCCGACACCACGGTTCTTCAACGGCACTTCGAAGCGGGCGGTGCCCTGCACGAGGCGGATGTAATTTGGTTGATTGAGGCTGCCGCCGTGTTGTTTGCGCAGGAACCAAATGCTTTGCGCCTGGAGGATCCCATCACCGTATGCGGCGACATACACGGGCAGAGCTATGAGCTGATTACCTTATTACAACTTGGTGGTGCCCCGAATGACACGCAATATTTGTTTCTTGGGGACTACGTTGACCGGGGCATCTTTTCCTGCGAGGTGACGCTTCCCCTCTTTGCTTTCAAAATTCGGTACCCAAAGTCATTCTGGAATGCTGCGCGGGAACCACGAGTGCCGGCGGCTTGCCTGCCACTTCGCATTTCGTGACGAGTGTGTGCGCAGGTACAGCGAGGCCGCGTATGAGGCCTTTCAGAGGGGCCTTTGACCAGCGGCCTTTGGCCGCCCTCGTGGCGGCATCGTTTTTCATCGTTTATGGCGAAATTTCGCCACAAGTTGCGACGCTCAGTGACACTGACAGCAGTGCGCGAGTGCGGGAGCCGTCGCTGTCGGACCCCATGGAGGAGGAGTTGGAGCAGATGTGTCCCGAGGCTTTGTTTCTCCACAGCGAGCTACGTGGCTGCTCGGTTGTGTACTCCAGCGGGCGATGGAGGAGTTTCTCACCGCGAACGGCCTCCTCAGCGTGATCCGCGCGCACGAGGCGCAGGACGAGGGGTTTTGCACCCTGCGGAAGACGGAGGCCACGGGGTTTCCGCCCGTCGTCTGCGTCTTCTCCGTAAATTACTGCGACACCTGCGACAACAGGGCCTCTATCCTACAAATTGAGTGCAATGTGCTGCGCGTGGTGCAGTTCTGCGCCGTCCCTCACCCTTTTTTTTGCTGCCCAACTTTATGAACGTCTTCGCCTGGTCGCTGCCCTTCCTCTGCGGGAAGCTGGAGGGCGCGCTTCACCTCCTCACCGCAGGGGAGGAGGCCGACGTGAGTTAACTCTCACTCTGCTTGACGAGCCGAAGTTGTCCGCGCGTCCGCCTCGCGGCGGGGTCTGGCAGCAACGGCGGCCGCCAGCGCGAAGGAAGAAAATGGAAGCAAAAAAAAGAAAAAAAAAAGGACGGCGCCTCTCTTCCTTTTCCCTTTCCCGCTTTCGACGCCTTCCAGGCTGCGGGTAGACGGCAGTGAAAAGAGGCGAGTGTCCGGTGAAGATGTCGGCAAACTCTCATTGGTTTCCTCCTCCTTTCTTTTGTTGTTGTTGTTTTTAATCTTTTAATTTTCCTTTTTCCCTTCCTCTCGTTTCTTTCGCCTGCGCCCACGCGCCTCCACTATCACCGGCGCCCCGCACGCGCTGGAGGCAAAGGAACCGCGACATGCCTCCCAAGTTCGACCCCAACCAGGAGCTCACAGTCGTTGTGAGGGCCGTCGGTGGCGAGGTGCCCGCCACGGCGTCGCTGGCCCCAAAGGTCGGCCCGCTCGGCCTGAACGCAAAGAAGATCGGCGAGGACATCGCCAAGTCCACGAAGGACTGGAAGGGCCTCAAGGTCACGTGTGAGCTGCGCGTAAAGAACCGTGTGGCCACCGTGCGTGTCACGCCGTCCGTCGCCTCTCGTCTGATCCGCGCCTTGAAGGAGCCGCCGCGTGACCGCAAGAAGGTGAAGAACATCAAGCACAACGGCAACATCCCCTTCTCGGAGATCCTCAAGATCGCCAAGGAGGCGGCGCCCAACTCGATGGGCGCCAGCATGAAGTCTGTCGTGATGGAGGTGCTGGGCACGGCGGTGTCGGTCGGCTGCACCGTCGACGGCGAAACCCCGCAGGCGATCCAGGACAAGGTGCGCAATGGCAAACTGAAGGTTCCGAACTAGGTGCACCGCTCGCTGGGGCCTGCACTCGCGCCTACAGACACATGCCTAGACGCGAATTGGAAATAAGGGGGGAGGGAAAAAAAAAAAACAGAATGGCCACACGTCGCTTCCTCTTCTTTTGCCGCTTTGTTCATTATTATTTTTCTTTTTTCTTTCCTTCGCTTTTCTCCTGGCTCCTGCGGGGGGCAAAATTCAGCGTGTGCGCGACTGTGCCGCTCCCGGCCTTGCTGCTTCCCCCCGTTCCTTCCCTCGCGCCCTCCCCTGCAATATTTCTGCGTTGCTGTTGCTTCTCCCACCCCCTCCGTTTTCGTGGCGCGCCCCGCCCACCCCGCGCGCGCCCGGCAGTTGATTTCTTTCACCTTTTGCGTGACGAGTTCAGCGGGGCGCGAAGCGGCTTAGGGGCGGTGCAGGCGGCGGGAAGGAAAGAAAACAAGGAGAAAACCCACCACTGCAAGGCAGCGGGGAAAAAAAACAAGGCAAATAAAAAGGGGACGGGAGAGATAAGAGAGCGCCTTTTTGCCCTGTCTCTCTCAGAAAAAAAAACGGAGAGTGAGCAAAGTGCTTCACTGTTGCTTGTTGCTTGGCATAGTCGCAGGTGCGGCGGAGAGGCGGCATAGACGAGGAGCAGCAAGCGAAAAGGGCGATATATAGAAGGAAAATAGGGGAAAAGGTATAGGCAAGCTGCAGTTAAGCGAAAAGCAATAAAAAACAACAACAGCGAAAACAAAAGCGAGGGACAAAAGAAAAAAAATTCTTTTTGTTTTGTTTTTGTTTTGCTTCGCTAGAAGAGGGCTTGACGAAGGCACACATACAACCCAGCGCTATAGGAGCAAAATAAGAGGGGGAGGGTAAAGTAAGAAGCGCGCCTCAATACATAAAGTGAAGGAGGCAGCGCATCTTGGTAAAAGCAGCAGAAAGAGGAAAGTAAGACATGATGGACGAGCAGTCTTCCACGTCGGGTGGGCCGCAGGAGGGCGGGGATGTTGACCTGCGGCAGAATCAGGGGAATGTGCTGTTTGTCGGCAACCTTCCCTTTCAGACCCCGTGGCAGCACGTGAAGGACCACTTCAGGAAGGCTGGAAAGGTGCGCTACACCGATCTCATTGCGGATCGCATGGGCCGGCCGAAGGGGTCCGCCTTGGTGACGATGGTTGCTGCAGAGGGGGCGCAGCGGGCGATTCGCATGTACAACGAAACGGACTTTGAGGGACGACGACTCATTGTTCGCCTCTTTGATGACGGTCCCCGTCCACCGATTGTGCAGCGTGGCATGATGCCGCAGTACGACCGTCACGCCCAACAGCAACAGAATCAGCAGCAGCAGCAGCAGCAACAACAACAGCAGCAGCAGCAACAACAGGCGACACGCTTCCGCGGCTACGCCAGCGCGGCGGCTGGCGGTTCAAACTACAACAGCGCAAACAACTTTGGTCGTGGCACGGAGTACATGGGTCGTGTCGGCTATACGATGGAGGAGGATGTTAATGCTGCGAACATGAATGATATGAGTGAGGTAGTGCCCAAGCCACGCAGTCAGCAGGTGAATGAGTTTGGACGAAAACTCTTTGTTTCAAATTTACCATTTGACTGCACAAGCAGTGCGCTGCGAGAGACATTTCAGCAGGTGGGCAACGTGGAGCGGGCGGAGGTCATCATGGGGCGGAATGGAAAGAGCAGAGGAATGGGCATTGTCGTGATGAGGACGGAAAAGGAGACGCGCGTGGCTATAGAGGAATTTGACGGTATTGAGATGGCCAACAGGGCGATGAGTGTCCGTCTGGACAGCAAAACCACGGCGTAATTACAGAGTTAAGAAACACACGTAGCTTTCTGCGAGAGCCTCGGGCAGAGAAAAAGTTGGGAGTTGCGTGCGAGCGAGGTGGGGAGGATAGATAATGGAAAAAGAGCAATCAAAGGAACACATCCTACGGCTCTGTGTGCTGCTGCTGCTGCTGTGAAGAAGCTGGAGTGGGAGGAAGCGGGGAATGTGGAATCGATACGGCGAGAGAGAGTCAGAGGAGGACACGTGGAGGGCATGTGGAGGGGCGCGTGGGTAAGTGAGACTGTGTGCGAGAGGGAGAGGAGCTTGGATGACAAGCAGAGGGGGAGGATAAAAAACGAGGCGAGGGGATTGGTGGTGAGTTTCCTCTCCGTGGCGTTTTCACTGTTTGGGGAGAGGGTGTGGGGGGGGCTCTTTTGACATTCCAGCCATCATCGTCATTCACACTATAGCGTTTTGCTTCAATCCCCTGACTTATTGTCGGTTTGCAGTTGTCTGGAGAGTGTCAAACCATTCCCTGCCTTCTTTTTTTTTTGTGTGTTTTCCCTTTCCACCATTTTCCTTCATGACACCTTTCTCCTTTTCGTGGCTGTTGTTCTAGGTGCTTCTGCTGTTGGTGCTTTTGTGCTCGTCTGGTGTCCTTGCTTCCTGCCCTTCGAGGGAGGCAGACGTCGCAGCCAACGGGGTCATTTTGTTTGTTTCTAGCGTGGTGCGAAGTCCAGGAGTGCTCGTAGGTGTGCGCGTGCATGTGTGTGTGTGTGTGTGTGTAACGGAAGCGGATTGTTAGAGAGGGAGAAGTCTTTGGATGCGGGGAAAGGAATGGTGATAAGGGGTTTTAGACGCCCATTTCGGATCTTTTTTTGTTCTGTTTTTTTTTGTTTGTTTTTGTTTTTGGCTTGTTTCTATCAGTGTGTACGTATCTGATTCATTGATGTTTTTGTTTTGTGTGTTTCGGCTGAAGGTGGTGTCGTTGCTGTGGGTTTTTGTTTTTCGTTGTTTGTTCTCTCTTTCCTCCCCACCCCTCTTTTTTGTTTTTGTTTTTTGGTTTTGTGGCTCCGCTTCTGCAGGGGCGTGTGTGGGCTTGGCGGCTCCACTCGCCCTGCCACCGCAAACTTACCACATATTTTGGTTCCGGCCGCTTCAGCGGGGGGAGGGGGACGTGGCAGGCTGAGGAGCACGCGACAAATACAAATAAACACGCACACATGCACACGAGACGTGATAATGTTGGGGGAGCAAATGCGAGGGGAGAGAAATAGCGCGCAAGGAGGGTGGAAGTGTGAAGGGTCGGCTGCGCACCGAAACGGGGTGAATGGCGGGTGAATTTGCTTTCGCTGCTTCTCTGTGGGTGTAATGAGCGGGGCGGAGTCCGCAAGCTTGGTGTGTGTGTGTGCGTGGGGGGGGGCTTGCATGGACCACTTTGCTCAGTTGTCTTCTTCACATCACGTTGGTTGTGTGGCTGCCCGCTGTGGCGCGAGGGGGGCAAAGGAAGCGGCTAAGGTAAGGCCGGCAACGACAGACAATGAGGAAGGAAAGAGGGGAAAAGGATAAACAAAGCGGAGAAACTGGATTTTTTTTTATTGTTGTTGAAATTAGGGAGAGATGGTTCGTTTTGTTTGTTCGGTTCGGAGGAAAGCCCAAGCGATGTTAGGGTTGAGGGGGTGAGGAGAGGGGGTGTGGGGTGGAGGACGGAAGGAACATAACCGCATTTTTTTTTTTGCACGAACCGGGGGGGGAAGGAGGCGCGGCGCGGGAAGAAGAGGGGGAAAATGTGCGTAGGCCCGTGGGCACTTCTTTTTCTCTCCCTCTCTTCATCTGTGCCTCCCCGGGCGTGCATGTGTGTCTGTGCGTGTGTGTAGGTGAAGGAGCAGAGAGGGGCGTTGTGGTCGAGGGGGACAGCAGAAGGGATGAAAAAAGAAAACCCAAAAAAAAACAAAAAAAACGGAAGAGACAAGCAGAGAGGAGACAGAACGAAGTGATGGAGGATGGAGCGAGTACTTAGTGACGCCAATGATCTTCTTTTTTGGCTTCGCTGTGGGGGGATTTTTGTTTGCTTGTTTGTTTTTTGCTCTTGCTACCTCCGGTCTCTCGCTACGCCGATTGACTACTTTGTATGTGGAGGTGGTGGGTGCTGCTGATCGGGATACATGCAGAATTCACATACTTACACTCTGGCAGACAAGCTTGTACGCTTGAACCCACACACGTTTCAATAGACTTTTGACTACACGCCGTGGGGACCGCAAGTTGTATTGCGTTTGCGGAGTATTGTTTTATACGCCTGTGCGGGTGTGGGTGGTGCGTGGGGGAGCGAGTTGGCGTGTGTGTGGGGTGTGTGTGTGCCTCATTTGCTGCCTTCTCTGGTTGCACGGGGAGGTATGGTGGGAGCGAAAGAGGACAGATATGCAGTGCCACTGCGTATCCGTCCTCCTTCTACTTTTCCCTTTACTTCGCTTCCAACCTTAATTCCTTTGTTTGTTTTCTTCCCTTGCTTGTCTCATTCCTTTTTTTTTAATTTTTCTTCTACTTGTTCCTTCGTCGCCATGCTTTTGTTTTTGGTTTTGTGGTTCTCTGTCTTGGAGCCTCTGTGCTCTCCCCCACTGGCCCCTCACTTGCGTTTTCTGGTCAGTTGGGGGTGGGGGGTCGTGTGCGTGTGCTTGCGACGCTTCTCGCCTTCTCCTTTGCTCCCCACTTTCTCTACTAATCCCCTCCGCCTGCGCGCGGCTCGCTCTGCCTCTCTCTCTCTGTGGGTCCGCGTGCCGCAGGCACGTTGCCTCCCCAAACCCACGGCATCGCGGCGCCGACGCGTGACGGCCGCACGTTGGGCGCTGACGGGCTCGGAGGGGCGGGCGATGCCTCGGCTGGGCGGCCGCGGAGGCGGAGGGGCGGCAAAGTGGCCTCCTGCGCAGGCCGCAGCGGCGCATGGCGACGAATTGCAAGAGCGGAGGAGCTTCTGCTCGCCTGGTTCCCGAGCACCCTCGCAGGGAGCGGCCCTCCGCCCCTCTTTCTCCCTCTGCCTCTCTGCGTGCGTGCGGTAAACGGGGGTGCCTCCTCCGCCCAGGAGGAGGAAAGTGCTGCCGCTGCCTGTGGTGGGGCCTCTTTTGTTGATCTTCCGCCGGACCAAACCCAAGACAATAACAACAACAACAAAAGGAACGGCCAGCAACAGCACGAATAAAACACGAAAAGGTGGTGGGCGCGGTTTGCGCGTGCGCGTGGCAGTGCTGTGCGCACCGCCCATGAAAGAATGTGTGAGGGGGCGCGTGTCTTGCGTTGCTCCACCTCCCCGCTTCCCCTCTCTCGCAGCTTCTTATTGTTATTCACAACTTCATCGCCCGGACACCCGGATGACGCCATTACACGTTTGTTTTTGCTGAATTTCATGTGAGGTTTCTTGCTTTCTCCCGCACATTATTATTTGTCTTTTGGCTCTCGTTGCGTGTTTGCAAGCACTTAGCGTGGCGTAAGCCCTCATGCCGTACAGGCTACTCGTCACAAACATCCCTCTGCGCGTGGGGGAGGAGGAGTTCTACGACTACGTGCGTGCCCACGTTGGCGGAGAGGCGGTGGTGAATGCGCTGCTTATCATGCGACCAGACGGAACGGGGACGTCGCCACACATGTCGTCCTCCGGGGCCGCGCTGGTGGATTACTCCGCGAAGAGCGCGGCCGATGCCGCAAGGCGGGTGGACTTCTACGTGGACGGGGCGGCCGTCATGATGAAGGCGGTGGGCTCCGTTCCGGCGCCGGGTCGGCACGCCGAAACGCTCGCCGCAGAAGGACGCGAGGCCTACCAGCGACTTCGGTGTGGCGTTGCGCACGCCGACCGTCGTGGCGGCCGCGGCGGCGACGCAGTGGCGGGGCAGAAGCGGCGGCGCGGAGGTGACAGCGCCGTTGCCTCTGACTCGCCCGACAGGGACGCGACGGCCACTAGCGTCGACGGCGGCGCGGAGGTGGAGCTCCGCCTCGTCGGTGTGCCGCGTGATCTCTACGGCGCCCGCACTGACGAGGGACCTGCGGACGCGGGGGGTCGGCCGACGGGTCCCCCCGCCTTCGATCTCTTCGCCGACGTCGCCCGCAGCGTTCGCCGCGCGACGCTCGGGGAGCTGCTGTCGCTGCGACGCCTCACCGACGAAGAGGCGCTTATTCGAGTCTCCGCGGACACGGCGGCGGCGCTGCTGGAGCGGGCGGAGGACGGCCTCCAGCTCCTCCCAGAGCCCACCGCCGCTGCACAGCAAGCCAAGGAGGCTGCCAAAGGCCCCTGCGATCACCGCCGCCTCTACGTGCGCCCGTCGCGGCCCCGCGTGCAAATCACAGGCGATAACTTCGCGCTGGCCACAAAGCACGAGGTGGTGGGGGCCATGGCGCGCATCATGGCACTCACCAACGCGAAGGTCGCTGGATTTATTGACCCCTTCGGCAACTTTCTGCTCCCCTCCGTTAACTGAGTCCACACACCCTCCCAATTCCAGACTGGTTTCCTCTGTCTCGCTTAACTTGGACTGCGAGGGATAAATTCCATTTCTCTCCCCTTCCCTGGAGGGCGATGTCGCCGCTAATCTCACTGTGCTCCGTGTCTTTCTTCTCCCGCAGTTGATTGCGCTCAAGCTATTATACCCCCAAGCGAACCATGGCCACCACCCTTGAGGAATTCTCCGCCAAGCTCGACCGGCTGGATGCCGAGTTTGCGAAGAAGATGGAGGAGCAGAACAAGAAGTTCTTCGCGGACAAGCCGGACGAAAGCACCCTGTCCCCTGAAATGAAGGAGCACTACGAGAAGTTCGAGAAGATGATTCAGGAGCACACGGAAAAGTTCAACAAGAAAATGCACGAGCACTCCGAGCACTTCAAGGCCAAGTTTGCGGAGCTGCTCGAGCAGCAGAAGAACGCCCAGTTCCCGGGCAAGTAAGCAGAGGGGAGGAAAGCAGTGGAGTCGACTATGGTAGGTGGCACACGTGCCATCAGCCATCGCTCTGCCCATGTTTTAATAGAATCAGGTTTTTTTTTTTGTTATGTTTCTGAATTTTTCAGGCGGGAGGTGCCGTTTTTTTGTAGCAAACATGTTTTTCCTCTCCCCTTCCCTGGAGGGCGATGTCGCCGCTAATCTCACTGTGCTCCGTGTCTTTCTTCTCCCGCAGTTGATTGCGCTCAAGCTATTATACCCCCAAGCGAACCATGGCCACCACCCTTGAGGAATTCTCCGCCAAGCTCGACCGGCTGGATGCCGAGTTTGCGAAGAAGATGGAGGAGCAGAACAAGAGGTTCTTCGCGGACAAGCCGGACGAAAGCACCCTGTCCCCTGAAATGAAGGAGCACTACGAGAAGTTCGAGAATATTATTCAGGAGCACATGGAAAAGTTCAGCAAGAAAATGCACGAGCACTCCGAGCACTTCAAGGCCAAGTTTGCGGAGCTGCTCGAGCGGCAGAAGAACGCCCCGTTCTCTGGAAGGTAAGGTGAGGTATTTATTATTACTATTTTTTTTTATTTTTTAAATTTTGAGTTCCTGTTTCGCTGAGAGAGTGGCAGGTGTCTTTGTGATTTTGTTTTTGCATTTTCATATACATATATACATATATATATATGTGTGTGTATTAGGATTTTTCATTGCTTGGTATGTAAGTCGTGGGGAAGCCTTTAGCGAAGTTGCGATGTGTTGTGAAGGCGCTGTTGTGCCTACTGGATAGTTGCGGTGTCTATACAATGAGTGCAGTACTCACTTGCTTCTATGTCCTGGTGTAATTGTGACCGTTATACATGCTTTTCCCTTTCCCCTGTGCTTCAACCTCCTCCTCGTGTGGGAGAGGTGGCGGGTTGCTTGTTTTATTCGCGTGTGTCTGTGTGGCTGCAGCGGAGCCAGCGAGAGTGGTGGGGAGCGGGGGTGCGCAGACGTAGAGTTCGGTGCAATGCTGCGGGCTGCGCGCCTTTGGCGCTTTCGGATGAAGGGTGGTGACATGTTTGTGGAGTACAAGGCCATGTCGCGGGATCATCGCCGCTCGCTCCGTGTGGAGGACGCCGTTGTGGACCCCAGTGTCGCCCGCACCGTTGTTCCGCTGAGCTGGCTGGAGCAACTGCGCAGCCCGTCCCTTCGGCTGCCGACTGGCTACCACGTGGAGGAGGCGGTCTACGTGCCTCCGGCCTACGCTGCGCTGACCGAGAAGGCGGCGCCGAACGCGATTTTGGCGGGCCCTGTTGTGCTGTACATTACGGGGCAGAACCTCCCGGTGGTGGTGAATCCGTACTTTGTCCCAGATGAGACGTGGGGCGTCAGACGGAACGGTGACGAGTGGGACCTGCGGCTTGGCATGGACGCCATCGAGCAGTGCACCTTGTTTAGCGAGCTGCGCCCGGGCGGATTGCTTTGCGGGAAACTCCCTAGCAGCCAGGGCCTGGCGCGTCACGAGCCCGTGCGCGCAACTCTGCAGCGTTATGGCATGAAGTGCGGACTCGCCGAGTCGCCACTAGTCCCGCGGCCGTGGACGCGGATGCGGTACATGTTTATCGACGAGCTGCAGCGCGGGCCGAAGATGACGGAATTTGTTGGACACAACCCGCGCAATGGCACCCCGTGGCGCTTCTCGCAACATACAAAGTACTTCCGCCTTGGAATCTGGCGGGACACGATACGTCGTAATGACATGAACGAAGGTCTCCACGGGCACAGCAGCTGGCAGAAGTCGCCACAGCAGTCGGTGCCGGAGGTTCGCCTCATGGCACCCTACCCGTAGGCGCAATGGGGAGGGAGAAACAGGAGAGGAACACGACAGCAGCAACAACACCTAGTGGAAAGGGGAAGGGAAAACGTCCACACTCGTGCAGGGGAAGATTGCAGCAGTTGCAGTTGTTGTTGGCGTTTTTGGGTGTTCTCAACACACTTCTTCACGAGGAAGAGAGTCTGGTTGGGCGGGAAGGCGGAGGTGTGTTTCGCTTCCATATTCTTAGGAGCCTCATTCCGGGATTGTTGTTTTACTTTCTCTTTTTTTTTTGTTATACTGATTTCCTTTTCTTATGCTTGTGTGGGTTGCGTGGCTGGGAAGGGAGAGGAGTGATTGACAGCAGTGCAGTACCACACACCCACACACTCCGAGGGAGGACAAGGTCGTGTAGAAGAGGAGGATCATATATCTTTTCCTCTAGTTTTGTTTGGCCTCGCTTCTGTTTCTTCATTTGGTGCCTTAGCCCTGATGGACGAGCGCGGAGGCACGCCCTCGTCTGCGCAGGCAAGTCCGATAGCCCCCAATGCACCGAGTGTAAAGATCCCTGCTGGGCGAATGGTGCTGCAAGACGGCGTCGTTAAACCGTTGCTGGGGCGCGGTATGCTGTGCCTGCTGCGGGACACTCTGATGAATGAGCTGATCCTCGTGTGGGTTTCCGCTGAGGGGGGCGAGGAGCAGCGGTTTCCGCTGCCGCGGGGCAAGGTGCGGCTTAGCTGGGTGGAGAAGTGCAAATCCGGGAGGGTGATGCTGTTTGACGTGGATAACGGCAAGCAGCTTCTCTTCTTCTGGGTGCAGTCCCGCTCGACGGAGCTTGCCGAGAAAACGATGCGGCGGCTGCAGTACATTCTGGAGCGGCACCGACACCACCCCCTCGCCGCCCCAAAGTCGGAGGCGATGCCAATGGCAACCTTCCGCAGGGTGCTGGCGGAGGTGTGGGAGGGGGCGGTGGCGCAGGACGTGGACCTCGACGCCCTGCTGGCCGCCCCCAAGCTGCTGGCGGCGCTGCGGGAGGAGCCGGAGTTCTACAGGGCGCGGCTGATGGAGTACCTCCCGCCAGCGACTGCCGCGGCGACGGACGCGCCGGTGGACCTGATTCGCCTTGTGCAGGATTCTCAGGTGCGGTGGGCGTCTGTCATCCTCAGCACCATGCTTCGCCGCGAGAACACGAGTAATTATTTTTCCGCCCTCTTCCTGGGCGCCGCCGCCCCGTGGAGCCTGAGCGTCCTGGCGTTTGTCATGCAAATCATCCAGGCCTTCTCGGGGAGGTGAGCCGCGGCAAACAGGGCTTCAGCAGAGGGAGAATGCGGGCAGGCGACACACACGTGCGGTGTGGATGTATTATTATTCTTTTTTTTATTACTTGCTTTTTTTCACGGCCTGGCGCCCTTCCACGCGGGCTGGAGGAATGAGGTGTGCCCTCGTTGAATCCCACAACGATGAATGGCTGTAACACACACACACACACACACACACAACCAGGCGACTAGCAACAAGAAGGCACTAACAACAAAAGCAAC